GGTGGAGCGGCGGTGACCCCGCTAAAAGGACCTCCTCTTTCGGTGGCCGGAGGGGAGGGAGAGGCGAGCGGTAAGTGCATAGAGATGGACGCGCCGCCTCCCCCTTCCTCCCCCACCACCAAACCCCCCGCGGGGTCGTTTTCTTCCCACCCTCCGAAAATTGACCGAAGCCGAGAAAACACACAGTCGTTTATGGACAGGGGGGTGACAAGAACATCCTTTTAGTAAAAACGCAATTTTTATTTCTTTCTAGCAAGAAGGGGAATTAAGCCGTAATAAGTAAAATGTTAAAAATAAGACGAAACTTTGAACGAGAATGAGACGGTGTCGGAGGCCGTCGGTAGCAGGCATGCTGCCGCGAACGGGGAGTCGGATATTATACACTTTGGAATATTTTACAAGCAGGCTTGGGTCCGTGGCACAGGGCAACGTGTTTGTCCGGAACGTGTCCGGAAACCTCACGTCCCCTGACCGTTGGCCGCCGGATCGCGGGCGATGCAGGAGTAACACCCCCCTCCCCCCTCTTTCTCCGCTGACCGGTGCGACGACTGCCCCGCATAAGCAATCAATTTATAGCCACCGTGAAGCCCATGCATCCCCAATGCTCCGCGCGTCGCGTGCCCCACGCCGCGCCACGCCACGCCCAGCGGCCCGTTTCGGAAGGCCGGTTTGTCCGGTCGGCCCCGTCTCCATAGTCCTGCCCGCCACGGCGGCGGCGACAGCAGACGGTTCACCTCCATGCAAATCTGCCGGCTGCAAAAGGGGTTTGAGGTGAGGGGGGTTCGCCGGCGGCGTCCCCCTCGTCATGCAGCCGCGCGTCGTAACTGAACGCACCCCTTCTCGACATCGGCCTAGACGGCGACGTCGGCGGCGGCCTCTGTTTGTAACTGAACGCAGCCTTCATCGCGTTGGTCACCGCCGAGAGGCAGAGCGGGGCGGCGATGGCGGGGGCCTCCGCTGCTGGGCCGGGCGGCGCGGCGGCGGCCTGTGGCTGACATCCCCCTCCCGCCCGGGTCCTTCTCCTTCTTGCCGCCCCACGCTGTGCTTGTGAGTGTTGTCCAAGAACCACTCACCTAGGCTCCGCCGGCTCCACCCCGCCCGGGGAGGCCCCCGCTACCCCGCTGCGCCGCCGCCGCTCTCCTGTCCCTGACAGGTCCGTGCGGGGGCCCAGCCCAGCCCGGGCCCAGCGGACCAGCACCGCGCGCGCCCACCGCCCAGCCACCCCCAGGAAGTCACACTGCCAGTGGCACACGAGTCCACTACCACCACCCCCTCTCTCTCACACACACACAGACACACATTCTCGGGTGTTTCAAATAAAAATTACACCCCTGAAAAGAAGGAGTGTAAAGTAAGCGGGTTGTTGTGCGCTTTCTCCTTGAAAGTCGACCTTTACTCTCCGCGCTTTACTTTCATCAGTCGAGTCCTTTATCGGAAATTAGATTCAACTCTCTGATGCTACGCGCGCCGGCCGTCCCCCCATCTTTTCTGACACAACGTTTCGGCGGCGAGGCCAAGGCTACCACTTGTGCCGCCGCGCACCCCCACCCCTCCCACACCCTCCACGCCCACCCCTGCTCGGCACCACCCTCACCCTCCCTTGCGCGCGCGCACACACACAGACCACTCGGCTCGCCATCGGACAGCTCCGCTGTGTCCGCTCTTTTTTCTGTCCTGGGGGGAAGAGAAAATGGCCGCAGGCATGGCGTGTGTGCTGACCACAGCAGGCAGCCTCGGAGAGCTTCTGCTGCCGCTCTGTATTCCTGTGCCCCTGTATTCTCTACCCTTCCCCTTTCACTCTAAATGGGGAAGGACTATGTTTGTGTCCTGCGGAGATGTGTTCTTAAGCACATCTCATTCGGATGCAAATTAATACCTGAAAAGTTACAATTTGTACCTGCCCTAAGTGCAAACAATTTTTTTTTTGTATCTCTACTTTGGATACTAATTTGCATCCGATTGACACAAAATCGTTCTTACACATTTAGAGTGCTTTCGATGTACTTATTCACCTCGTAGTGAATTTCTGTTGCCTCCTAATTCGGTTCGTAGTTTGTATTTTACTCATTTCGTTTACAACAATGTTATGTTTGCGCTCACCTTGGCCCTTGCTGCCAACTTGACGACGACGACGATGGTAGCGGTGATGATGACGGTGACGCGGGATGATGAATCAAAGCAGTGCGTGCCTGTGGGGCACTACCACCGTGTTGTTGCGGTACGCCGGAAGCTGCTCCGGGGGACGGACGCCCACTTTCATTTCCGGTGAAGGTCCAGGCGGGCGGCACTACGACCGCCGCCACCATCACCACCGCCACCACGGCCTGGCTTGGGGGGCGGCCCCCTCCCCGCTTGCCGACCCCATCCTGCCCCGGAGCCCCGCTGAGATCCTCCTCCGCCGGCCGTCCTGCGGCCGTCCTCCGGGGCTCCTTGGGTGTGACGGAGTGGGCGAAAGGGTGGGCATGATGAAAGCCGCCCCACCGCGCCACGCCACGCCGCGCCCGGGGGCCCCGAGATGGAGTTCAGGACACACCAGGGGCACCTCGGCCGGGGTCAGAAACCCTCCTGGAAAAAAGGACACAGGATGTGTAGAAGAAAACGTGGCCGCGCGACTTGGGTTTCCAGCCCGCGTATAATGCCTCCCGATAATGTCTACCGCTGCCTTGGCGGCGGCATGTTATACCCTGGACAGACGTTGTGCCCACCCACCACCACCACCCTTCTCTTCCCTTCCCACCGCCCCGCCACGCCCCGCCACGCCCCGCCACGCCCGCCCATGATGGATGGAGCGGTGGCATGACGTCGCCCGGCCGGCCCCGGCCCCGCCCGCGCACCCCTGTCAAAACAACGCACTGTCCGCCCTGCATTAGGCGGCGCCGCACACAAAAGCATATAGCACAAATGTATTTCGAGTGGAAAAACAACCCCCCCGAGCCCCCGCGAAATTCAAACTATAAACAACAAACAGGGGGGGGGGGGGCTCTGCTTACCTTGATCAAACACACGACAGTATCACATCTCTATGATCCATGGACATAATTCAGAATTTCCCCAAATCGACGTCGAGGGTGTTTCTTTCAGCCGAATCCTGCTGGTCCGCCCTGCGTGGTCCGACTTGCCGACGACGAGGAGCAGGGTCCGATGTGAGCCCCTATCAACTTCTTGGCAGTCCCGTGAGAGGCCATGTCGGGCGCGCCTAACCTCTTCACCACCAGACGGGGTATGACACCACACCACCGCGCGCAGGGCGCGCGAGCGACGCGCTGCGACTGACGCGGAGGTGTTCGTCGGCGACGTGCAGCCGGAAGAGTGCACAGTCATACACGGAGCACTGCCACGGGCAGGTAGACGGGCGGGCAACCCTTGCTCCCCCCTCCACGCACCGGCCCCCTTCAACCCTTTCCCCCTCTCCCCCCTCCCCTCTTCCCGGTATGCATTTTACCTCCCCTTATTTTTTTTACTTATACACCGCGGAGTCGTCCCGCCGATTTAACCCGTTCTCTTGTTCTGTCCGGAGCTTCCTTATTCATCCCTCCGTGTAGTGCGCGCCCCGCACGCACAGCATGCAGAGTTTTATAGTTTCTGCATGCAGCGCAACATCTGCTCTGTCGCTTTTGCTATTTCCGTTCGGCTGGGTCCTGCGCCGCGCCGCTCCGCGTCACGGCAACGTCCCGTGTTGAAATTGGGTCAAGGCACCGTTAATTTCCGCAATGGATCATCAGAGTCCAACGAAAAAAATAAAAGTGTTTCTTAATCATGTTTACCTGCACTAAGCGTGATACCCTAGGACGTTGCAGTGATGCAAGTTTGCCTAACTCCGTCCTTCCGTAAGGCGCCATGGTCGCTGCGCCCAAGCCAAAGCGGTTCTTGTTATCCCGTAACAAACACAGCAGCGGCATGCTTTGATACACCCGGTACTTGTAAAAAAAGTGTTTTACAACATTTTGTCATCGGGATAAGTGGAGTTTTAATTTAACGTTGATCCATAACTATTTAAAATAATCTGGGGATCAATGGAAGCCTGAGTATTTTCGTGAATTGGTTCAAAATTAAAGCGTTCCCGCCCCCGCCCACCTCTGTAGTTGGGCGTATAAAGGCGGCTTGGTCAGGGGCAATTTGCAAACTCCGACGAAATGTGAAGGAGGCTAATGAATCGGCCACCTGCCATGTGTGACTGTGGCGGCGGTACTTTCAGGGTTCCCCCCGGAGCCACCTCGCAGTGGCGTCTCGTCCTCGGTGTGACGCGTAGTGAGCATCGTGCAGTGGCCTGGGTCGCGGGAGCCTATCGGCGGAACACATCGACCCACACGAGGCACTCGTTGGCCTCGCTGCCCTCGAAGCGCGCTAAAAGCGATATTAGCCGTCCGATAGCGGCAAGTGGCTCCGATGAGGCTGTACTCCATTAATTTGGAGCTGAAGAGCCCCGCGTGAGCCACTCGAGATGTTTATCGCGATCACACCAAGCGACGACCTGACCTGCCGATCAGACGGACGGACGGACTGCGACACTGTGTCGCGGGGAGACCGCGTGCAGAAAAAATAAAAAGGTGCGGGCAACAGGAAGGATGAGGGAAAAAGCGCGAAAAAAAACGAGAGCAAGAGAGGTGTCTGTAAAGAGCCTCGCTAAATAAAATAAACCGCCTCTTTTGCGCTCGCCGTGTGCTTTTGCCGACCCCCCGCCGACCTGTTCTCCGCAACGCAACCCTTTCGGACGGCGAACCTTTTCCTGTCTGACAATTCCGCAACAGCAGCCGTCCCGGGTCGCGGCGGCTACCCCTCCCCCTTCCCCCCTTTCGGTTGGCTTTTAACCCAGAACCCCTTTTGCACCTTCATCATCCTCCTTTTTTTTTTCAACCCCTTCTCCTTCTCGTATACTTCTCTCTCTATTTCTCTCTCATCTGGTATAAGGGCATGGTTATACCAGACAGAGAGAATGGAGGAGAATACGAAGAGGAAGAAGAAGAAGAGGAGGAGGAAAGAAATTGGCGATTGTATCTCATTATGCTGTGCCATATGTTGTATGCATAGGGATGTGCAGCGCGCCGCGCCACGCCGCGCCGCGCTGTCAATAGCTCAACCCTTCCGGGACGAATTGCCCGTTGGCCGTGCCGGCTGGCTGATCGGAAGGGCATCACCGGTTCGACCGAGCAGAGCAAAGCGGAACGTATCGGAACAGAAGGTAATCTTACCTTATCAAAAATTTAGTGAAGCCCTATGAATTTCCCTCTTTTTGATCTGCACATTTATTTAAAATGTTCGCACGCGAGATTAAGTGAAACATCGAGTGAGTGAAACTCTACGATAGGAATTTGTGTCAGTGATAGTGTGATGGTGCATTATAAGAAAGATTAGTCGAGACCATTCTTTCTGTCGTTTTATATCAGATATGAAAAATATGATTCGTTAACAGTGTATTTGACTTGACTTTGATTTCTAAAGCGCCAAATAACATGACGTCTCACGCAGCGCTCGATGTGCGATAATCATGCCACATCAATCAACCAATATCGCCTCCCCGATAACGAACAGACGATCGATCGATCCAAGAGAGCCAAAGTAGAGAGGGAAGTGGT